AATGGATCGAAGGTTGAAAGGGTGAAACGAAGATATGAATCGAACGACTCACGTGATTATGTGATCAATCGGGGTCATGATGGAACATTATAGTATCAGGGCATGATTAAGATCGGGTACAATAGGTACCGTGATCATCAATGACAATAAATTAAGGGAAATTAAAAATTTAATAAATTAATGACAAAGAAATAGTTAAAGTGTAATACAAAATATGTAATTGTTTGAATCATATAAATAGCAAAATGTAAATAAAGAATTCTTGAGTCTCTTGGACTGGGAAAATTGAGTAAGCGTTGTCATAAAGTAAATACTTACGTGTTGGTCAGTGTGAAGAGCATCGTTGTTAGAGAAGAAGTGTGTGTCTCTAGTGCCAAGCGAGACCATAATATTAATATACTATCTGGGGTAGATAGCAGTCACTACGGTGATTGCTTAACTCTTTGACACTAATTTCGGGCATCTATAAATTGGATAATTTTCATTTTATTTTCTACAGGGGGATCCCCAGATTTCCGGGTCGGCGATCTGAAATTTTCGGGTCAGATATTTTTAACCGAACCTGACCCGACCCAAAAATTCGGGTCGGGTTTCGGGTTAACCCGACCTGATTCGGAGCACTACTTATAACAGTTTGCTAATTTAGAAAAATACAGAAGGCAAGCAGATAGGTATATGCTTAATTTTGTGAAAAAAAATCTTCATTATAGCTTATATTGAGAGAATACTATATGTACTTCACTATATCAAATTGAAATATTCAAAATTCTTCATTATACCAACCTTCACTATAGCGAGAGTTCACTATAATGAGAGTTCACTATAATGAGAGTGAGTTGTATTTTGTAGAATTTATAAATCTATGCAGGTCTAAAAAGTTGAAATAAACAATTTAAAAATCAAAAATTTTTAATAATTAAAAATAATGCTTCAATTCTTAATTTTATAATACGCTTGTAGTTTTATTCAACATAATAATACAATATTATCATTATTGCAAATTTTTTGGCTAAAAGAAAAATTTTATTTTAATATAATCAGCCCTGGCCGATGAAGTTACGGGCCGACCCTCGGCCCGGCTGATAGGGCGAGGTCAGCCCATATTACTAATCTGATTTTATGTATAATAAACCTCTTTAAGTTCACTCTTTCTAAATGCACACTTAAATTCTAGACATATATATATATAATCTCTATGTATGCACTCTCCTTATTGTTTTCTAAGTGTATATTGTTGAAGTTTGGCCTAAAAGTGCATTAATAGAGGTTTTTACAGTATATCATTTAATATATAGCATATTAATCCTCAACAATCGTAATTTCACTTTAGTTTCTATATTTTTAAAAAAATTATAACCAATATCTGCAGATTCACCCTATATTAAATCTGTGAAATAATATATATATGTGTGAGAAAATCTGCAGAGCCTTTTTTTTTTATACTTGTAGAACCCGCATTGTTTAAAAAAAATTTTGCGAAAAGAATACTTAGTCTGTGTTCCACAGATTCTACATGCTAATTTTAAACATTGTCTACACTGCATAGACCAGATCCACTCTGTTCGGTTATGGAACAAATAAGAGCATGAGAATAGATCATATGTACAATGTTTTCAATTTGCATTACAGTTAGTGATGGGCAATTGGCTGTTTTTCCAAAATTCCACGTGGGATGCGGAATCATGCGCGGGATTGTTTTTTTTATATTTCAGAATTTTACAGAAATGGGTCAAAATTTTCAGAATATTTGGAGTCCGGCCATATTTATGACACTGTCTAAATTATTCCGCGCGGGATTTTTTGAATCCCACGCATTATGTGCGGGATCATGCATGGTGCTCATCACTAGTTATAGTGGATTTTCTTTTTTAGCTGATTTTTCGATAGACCCAAAAAATAACAAACTAGATAGCTGCGCGACATCATCGCGCGAAACCAGGAACAGAAGATCTAAGCAGAGGACAGAATCAATGCATCTGATACTATGAATTTGCACATAGTTATAATGCATTCCAGTGCTAATATTAGAAGGTTATAGTATACATCATACATCAGTATATTTGATGTATAATTGAAAAAGATATATAGTATATATCCGTGCGTTTGATGTATAATCGGAATTAGTTGGTGGTTTCCCACCTGTATAAATGCAGAATAACTATTAGCCAGAAGCTTTGTAGTCACATAATTTTAGCTGGTGATTTCCCACCTGAATAATGCAAACCGGCTGTAAAGAGATGTTTAAGCTGACACAAAGTGGCAGGATTCTATTAAGGGAGGGTAGGGTAAGATGTGAAATTGATTTGCCTCTTGAAGGGGCTACTGTCTTGCTGCTCTTCTGTTTTATATCTGTACGTTATTGTCATATGTTCTCTGCTATAGATAGGTGCCTAAATTATTTTTGAAATATTGTATTTTTGGCAAATATTTCAGCATTGCAAATTTTTATATGAAGCCCTTCGAAATAACTATATTATATAATGTGGTTTGATGAAAAGAGTTCAAAAAATTTTGGCAATAATTTCGGCAAATATGAAATTTTAGCACTATATAAGACTAATTTTAGCTATCTAAATGCTGCAAATACTTTATTATTAAGATGGGCAATTTAGATACCTATGTATATTTCCTGCTATATTAATATTTGCGTCACAAGCTCCTAAAGTAATTTTGTTAAATTTATACTTATTTTCCCTTACATATACCGGATTCTCTTGCTCATGCATCACTGCTTAGCAGTCTTTTCTATCTGACCTACTGTCAACTAAAAGAAAAAAGCAGTCATGTGAGTTTTAGCCAACCATTGTTATAATATAAAAACAATAATTACAGTAAATACAGTAAATAAAATCAAATAAGTTAGTGCTAGGATGAGAAAGTTTGTATTCTAAAATCATTCTAACAGCTCTTTATGGTTAGTAGAGTTCCAATTCAGAAAATTTATCATCCATATCTGAATCATCTAGATAACTCCAATCGCTGAAATATTCGGATAATTATCTGGATATTAATAGTAAACAGATAACTGAATAAATTTAGATCCAAATATCTAATAATTATCTGGTATACACTTAACAAATTGGAACTCTAATAGTTGCTGTTAGGATGAAAAAGTTTGTATTATAAAATTATTCTAATAGCTTTTTACAATTAGTGTTAAGATAAGAAAGTTCATATTATAAAATTATTCCAACCACTCTTTATGGTTAATGTTAGGATAAGAAAGTTCATATTACTATTCTAACAACATTGATGTTATATGACTGATCTCTCATCTGGTGTTAATATATAAAAAATCATTTTACAATACTAGCTAGTACATGTTAAGATTATTATTATCATTATAATCCAACACTATTTTATTATAATAAAACTGGTGTTGGGTTATAATCATAACATGTACTAGTGGGTGATCTAATATTGTAAAATAATTTTTTTATATGTATGTTGCACACCGGGTAAGGGTATCAGTGTTTTCTCCTTTTCATTCTAACAGCTCCTTGTAATTATTGTTCTGATGAGAAATTATCATTCTAGCAGCTCTTTATAGTTAGTGTTAGGATATGAAGGTTCGCATTATAAAATTATTCTAATAGCTCATTATAAAATCATTCTAACAGCTCTTTGTGGTTAGTGTTAAGATGAGAAAATTCATGTTATAAAATTATTCTAATGCTCTTTAATAATAAAATTTAGTATTTTGATTATTGATATTTGTACTATATATTAAAATTTTATAAAGAATCTTTTTTTTTGCCAATATGCCCATCATTAAAACGTATATTAGTCTTTTCAATAATATATCAAATTTATATAAATCACATGTGCTATATTAATTATTCAATGTGGTACTTAAAATAGTCTTTATATTAATCTTTAACTCAATGATAAAAATAAAAACATGCGCTGACGTAATATAATACGGGATTCATCAACTTACCGACAATCACTTCGTAGACACCACATTTCACCAACAATTACTCATCGACAAGTTCATTTTACTGACAGTCTATTTCACTGAAGCTCATTTTACAGACAAAGTAATTCTAGTCAATATCATTAGAGTTAGGTTAGAACTAGAGCTAAAGCTAGTGTAATTTATAAAAAAAAACTTATCGGTGAATGAGCTTTGGTGAAATAGACTATTGGTAAAATGAACTTGTCGATGAATAACTGTCTGTGAAATGTGTGTCAATGAAGTGATTGTCAATAAAACAATATGGACTGATATTTATTAATTAAAAAAATTTTGCTACTTTATTGATCTTGCTTTTGGTGATAAACTTTCGATATGAGAACTGAATGAATCTCTATAATTGTTAAATTGAAAAGAATCCAAATAATATAATGTTTTATTGTTTGGTCTGTTTTGTCTCGCTTAGTAATATGGGCTGATAACAAAGCTTTGGGCCAGGGCTGACACTAATATAGTACGGCCCGGTTGACCAGGCTAACTATTTTACAGAAAGAAATTTTAGCCAAAAAAATTACAGATAAGCCACGTACATAATATATAATGAATTAGCTTTATAACCTTTTATTTTTGGTATAATTGATAGTTTAACTAAATTAATGGATAGTTGTAAAGTTCACAGTATGCAATATTCATATTGATACAAGGCTAACATCCTGATAAATATAGTAGGTTCCAGAAAATAGACCCTTTTATATTAATCAAAATGTTCAACATAAAGCACATATTTTAAGAAGGATCTTGGCAAAAAGATCGTCAGTCACTCTGTTGCGCTCCGGTGCCGGGTGTCTGAGAATATAGCACTAATCCCGAAATAGTAAACTCACAAGGCTTTAATTCGACAAAAATAAGGGCTTTAGCCCTTGTACCTCAAAGGCATAAGGCTATATGAGCTATAATTGGCGTAGAAAAAGTCAAAGTATCTAATACTCACGAAGCAAATTCGCATAGATCAAGAAAAAATGTGAAGCAGTTCATAAAGTTTAAAATAGGCAAGAAATCACAGAAAAATAACCAAACCCCCAATATGGCTGATGCGGGCATTGTTAACTGGTCTGAAGAGTTAGAATATAACCTTATTGAGAGGGCACAACCTGTACAAGAGTCTTCTGACAAGGAAGACTTCACGCAAAACTAGCCAGAAAATTCCATGGCTTATTTGATGGAAGATTCTGGAAATTCTATAAAACTGATCTCAGATAATCCGCAGCCAACATCGCACAATGAGAAATCCAATAACAGACCTAAAATTAATAATAACAATTCTAAAGAAAATCTCCAAAAGCCAAAATTATGGTCTAGCCTTTTCTCAAAATTATCTAGAGGGAAGGCTACTTATTCTATATTCTCACCCCAAACTAATATTAGAACAAAAAACAACAACGATCTGATCTTTGACATTCAAGCTATCAAGAACGTTTCAATTAATGAAATTCTGACCATACTTCACAGTAAGATAGGCTCAGAAGTGGTGGGTGTAAAGCCACATTTAACTAAAGGGACACTCTCGCATTTAGAGATTGTATTTATAGACGCTCAAACCATGAAGAAATATGCTTCTGAAGGAATCTCAATGTTTGAGCAAACCTTCTATGGTTATATTTCGACTAGATCAAACTGATTATTTCTCTCAGTCAAGTTGCAAAATGTACCTATAGCTAGCAAAGATATTATCTCAAAAGAAATTAAAGAAGCATTTCAAGACCTGGGCCATATAGCCTCTATTAGGCCCTTACAATATGAAAAAACTTCCTTCTTATCTAATCAATGGGTTATTGTTTTTGAAACAACCAATGATCCTTCATTGAAAAATAAAATTCCTCATTATACTTATATTGGGGGCCAGAAATTAACAACTGAGTGGAGATCAGCCCCTAAGGTTTGCTACTTCTGTGACAAGGAGAGACATATAAAAAAAGAATGTGTAGAATTCATCGAAGCCGTCAAACTTAGACAGAGCTATAAATCGTATAAAGAGATAAAGCAAAGAACACAACAAAAAGAATCAGACAATGCTTATACAGCACCTGACAACACAGAAGCTGAAGAGAAAAGTTGTATGGACGAAATATCATCCTACGACTCTCAAGAAACATTAGAAAACATGATCCAAGATGAATGTACTGAAGAGTCTAACTATTCAGTTTCCAAGAAAGATAAATACTTAGATCAATTCTCTAATAATTCACCAGAAACTTTAAATGAAAGCTATGCAGAAATGTATCGGGACAGGTGGAAAGAATTCCTATGTCTAACAATCATGAGTCAAGCTACTTTACAATCAATGAAAGTGCTTTGGCTAATCAAACCATGACAGATAATGGCTTTATTAAAGTTACAGCAAGAAAAAAAAAGGTCCAAACCGAGGTGTTGAGAAAGAATCGAACAGGGCATATCTCTACAAAAAAACTAAATACAAAAAATGAGTGGCAAAACTTTAATCAATATTGCAACCTTAAATGTCAAGGGGCTTAACAACCATAACAAATGTAATAAGACCTTCACTTTACTTAAAAGTTACAATTTGGATATTATTTTAATTCAAGAGACAAATACTAACGAAGAAAGAACTAGAACTTATTTGAAACAATTATGGCTGTACGATTCCTATTGGTCAGCTAAGATAGTGATATTAGCAGGAAATAGTAAAATCAAATTAGAAAATATTAATGAAACATTAGATGGGCGAGTAATAAGAGCAAACTTTATATTTAGACATACTTACTTTCAAGTAACAAATGTTTACGCATCCCCAAATATAGCAGATAGATTATCCTTTCTAAACAGGTGGTTTCCTTCTATCAATAGTGATGTAGTCAATATAGTTGCCAGTGATTTTAATGTGAACTTAAATCCAGACAACAACAGATTAAGTCAAGCTTCAGCACATAACGACTCTACAAGAGATAAATTAGATCAACTAATGTTAGAATTTATAGACACTGCAAATCTAATGAGCGTGAAACCATTTATAACATTTCATCAGAAGGTTAAAAATAATCAAATGATGGCAACTAGGTTAGATTATATATTTATAGATAATGAACACATGCATCTATGCAACAAAACAGAGACAAAGTTTGGCAACTCGGACTAATAGCTAGTTTGTTGTGAGCTATGGCATGGTCCTTCCACAACAACCCCAGCAATCTGGAGATTAAATATAGGTGATTTGCAGAATTCTAAAATTAGAAAAGAAGTGGAAGAAGAAATTAAAAGTATTGAGTCTAGCTCGGACTAGGATTTTGATAAACTTAAATTACAATTTATTATTCGGGTCTTCAGACCCTTGCCCAAGCCGGAATCACATATAGAGAAATTGAATAAAAAAATAACAGACCTCAAAAATAGAATAGCGCAGAACTCTAACTTAATTGATTTAAATATCACAATATCCTGCTTTAAGGAGGATTTACAAACTGAACTATCTAAACTTGCTACGAACTGGCAAATCAGATCTTAGGTTAAATGGTTAGAGAAAGGAGAAAAGTCAACAAAATATTTCTTTGATAGATACAAAATTAGACATGAAAGTTTAGCAACAGCAAGAATTCGAATATCTAATTCTCCAGCCACTGTAGACCCTTTAGCCATTCTAAATTACATAAGATCTCAATATGAAGCTATTTTTAAAAAAGATCGAAAAAGCAAATTTAATTACCAATGATCTTCCACAAGTGACACATGAACAAAACCAATCACTTACTAGAGAGATTACCTCGGATGAGATTCTAAATGTGATAAACCAGCTACCAAATAATAAGTCCTCTGGATTAGATGGCTTAACTTACAAATTTTAAAAACTTATAAAGATGAAATCACTCCACTACTGGGAAAAATTTTTAAATTCAGATCATATTCCTGATTCATGGTATAAGAGTCTAATCACTCTAATTCCGAAAAAGTCAGAGTCTCTTGAAGATCTAAACAATTGGAGACTAATCGCATTAGTGAATAGCGATGCAAAAATCTTTTTAAAAATATTAGCATCTTGTCTAAATCCAATCTGTCAGAAAATAATAGAAGTATATTAACAGGGCTTTATAAAGGGAAGATATATTATTAATACAGCTTTAGATATTATTACCACAATGCGAAAGAGAAAGACCTGTCCAAATTAGCATGGCTTTTTTTTCTAGATTAGAAAAAAGCTTTCAACAGAGTCAATCATGAATACTTACAAATAGTTCTAGAAAGAATGAGGTTTGATTTTACATTTAGAAGGCTGGTAAATAACTTGTTCGCAAGGCAAGTGGCACATATATATGATGCAGGCAAGCTCTCCACATAGGGATGTTAATGGTTGATCCAGTCCAATTTGATTTTATAAATCAGATTAAAACTAAACCAGATAAAAAAAAAACTTAAATCAAATTAGAACTGAATAAAATTAAATATAGAAAATTGAACCAAACTAGAATTAAATATAAAAAATTGAATTAAACTAAAACTAATATAAAAATAACCAAATTGAATTAAAATTGGACTTGTTTAAACTAATTTGATTTTTATGTACCC